TTGATGCCAAAGCAAAACTACTCCAAAACCCGGCTCTCAAGTGCACAGAAAAAACATCGCTTTGAGACAAATTTAAGCCCAACAACAAAAAAAGTAAACAAAAAAAGTATGTAGTTAAAGATGTATCTAGAARTAATGTACAAGAATTCAGGTGTGGGTTTTTTTTAGCAAACAATTAATCTTATATTTCTACTGTTCACGAAAAGCAGTTTCGTTCGATAACGTTCGACGACTTGTACTAAGAGGTCACGTGTTCAAATCCGCCATTGTGGCTGGCATTCTACAGGATTTTAGCTATGTGAGAATGCTAAAAAAGATGGCGGATTCGGGAAGTTTTTTTGTGATAAAAGGTAAGTTAACGCACTAAAATACCGTTAAAAATCCATTTTTCTTGCTGAAATATGTTCTTCATAGATATCTAAAGTAGATTTTTGCTATTAACTATAGCCAAGAAGAGAAAAAATATGGTGTCTTTTGGGATACCGGGTGTCTTTCGGCGCCTTCCTGTCGTCATTACCTGGGACAGCACCTGGCAAGACACTGGGGGAATCTTTTTTTTTTTTACATCAGATTTCAGGGGTTACGGTTTGTAGGAGTCCGTTAAATAGTTCATTGCAGGCTCATGCATTGGAATGTCTTTCTGTACGTGCTACAAGTCATGTAAGTTTGAGTTACTCAGGGTTTTAGTTTCTTCTTGAAAGATTTTAGCTATAGTATAGTTTCTCAAAATACTTTTACTAAACCGTTGAACCTTTCTTTCTAAAAAAAAATAATGCAAAGCAAAGATGGCACGCACAAAGAGAAGGCAAAGAGAAGTAGCTCAAAAAAACAAAAAAAAAAAAAATACTGTCGTTCCAAAAAGTTAAACTTCAAGATTCACAAACAATATGAAATTGGAAAATACTAATGCCTTCTGTCTGTTTTCTGTTTTTTTCTTTAGAAATAATCAAAAACTCTAGGATACTAAGACATGAATATATGAGGATCTTTGAAAAATTACACTGAATGTGGGATAGTTTTTTGTGACTTCTACGTTTTCACTGATTACAGTAATTAAAGTGAACTGGCCATTGAAGACACACTTTCAACTATCCTTTCCACTCGCAACTTAGAAACTTGCCAACTCCTGTCCACAAATACCTTCAAATTCAACTGACAATGAAATATTATGAAATATAGATACAAAGTCACTTATTTCGAGAGAGGATGCATCGAAAATTCACTCTTAATTGAATCAACGAAAGAAACTCATAGCTTCTTTGCCGGATTAATTCAGATTCAGATAAGTTGAAAGTTTGCCGTTGTTAGCTGTAAGTTATATAAATAACACTTGTAAAACCGATTTCAAAATAGAATTTTTCGTGTATTCCACTTAAAAGTTCCTAGTCTGTTGAGTTTTCATCAACAAATTTGTCGCCGATTACTTATTTACGTAAAATAAGTTGAGTTTCAAATTCCTTATGATATCTAGTAGTCTGAAGTACGTAGTCTAAAATTYGTTTTCGGCTTTTCAGCGATTTTTTATTTAGAATTATCACTGTAAAATAAAAATTATTTGGTTAAATGGATTTACTTCCGGTAGTTTCCTTTGTTTCAAGATAGCCAATTAAAATGTGTAAAAAATTCGATTCCCCCAGAGTCTTACCACTGACGATAGGAAGGCGCGGGAGGACTGGGTGCGAAAAGCCAAACAAGATCTAGACTAAAGACTTCGTAGGTCTTYAAATCGTATCGCAAAAAATACCATATTTTTTCTCTTCTACTTTAGATATCTACTAAGAATATGTTTCTAGCAAGAAAAAAATTGTTTTCTCAAAAGTTTAATGAAGACTTTCCTTCAATAACTTCTAAATTCTAATTCGATTTTTGGGCTTTCACTTAGTTTGAAGTCTAGCTCTGTTTTGATTGTTCCACGCTGTTATACAACAGCGAAAGCTTTGTAGATAATATTTCTATAGATTTATAATTTATTTAAATATTGAATGAAATAAAAAAGGAATATATATTACCATTAATGAATATGTCTCAGTTGTTCTTGTGAAGTTTAATAACT